TCCAGTCAATTCTGATTCATGGCGACCCCATATGTTACAGAGTAGAACATCTCAATAGGTTGTAATCTTCGTGGAAGCACTTTGCTTTCTTCTGTGGAGCTGGTGGGTGGGTTCGAACCACCCATCTTTAAGTTAGCAGCTGATTACAAACCGCTTGTGCCACCCAGTTCATGTTCTCATCTAATAGTTGAAGATCAACATCTGAGGTGAATATATAGTTTGCCTCGTAGGGCTTTGTGAGGATCAAGAGTTACTCTCATGCGATGCACAGGGCCTAGGATGGAGGAGGTGCCCAGTACATGTCAACTGTTGTGACAACAACTCCTCTGTGGCCAGAGCGAACTACTGCACAGTTGTAAATCTATGTCATTACTCCTGATCCGAAGCTGCTTAAAGTCTTCTGAAGGACACACGACTTATACAATGTATAATGAGAAAAACAATACGAGACCTTTAATTATGGAGTTTATAGTAAAGTGCAAATTAAATGTAATCAAGTGCTATAAGGTATGATACTAACAGTTAGGGATTAAGAAGAGGAGAAAGACATCAGGGAGAGCTTCCTGGAGTGGGTGAGATATTGGTATTACAAAACAAAAGATGTATTATTTTCAAATTTCAATTATACAGATATTTGGATACATGAGTTTTTTATTTTTAAATAGCCTGATGGTCGTCAACAAAGGAAGATCAGTGTGATTCCCCTCGAAACCAGAAGTATGTGTGAAGGATTTGCTATCTCTAAAAACATGAACCTCAACACAATATCCACTCCATGAGGGCCGGGACTCTTCTCTGGTTTGCTCCCCAGTGTGCTGAGTGCATAGAAAGCATTCAAGAAACACTTGTCAAATCACTAGATGTACAAAAAGATGGCACACAGTTCCTATACAGTTCAACTCTTATACAACACGACCTTTATAGTCCCTTAAAGGGAGGTATATCATCATAAGCTAGTAACTGGTCTACTAACTTCGATGCTAACTCACTCTGCTAAAGTTGTACTTCCCTATATTGATTTCTCCCAGGAATTGAAAAGCTGCCTCCTTCTTGAGCACCTGCTGATAAAGATAGTAAATTATATCTGTAACTTCTCACAAGTTTTCAATGGACAAGGAAGTGTGTGTGTGTGTGTGTGTGTGTGTGTGTGTGTGTGTGTGTGTGTGTGTGTGTGTGTGTGTGTGTGTGTGTGTGTGTGTGTTGCTGGTTAAGCATACTACCGTCCGAGAGTAAAGGCTGGTATAATTTAAGCTTTCCGAATGAGTACAAAATGCCTAGAATAACTTATGGTAATAATTACACTATGTACCTATAGGAAAAGAATGCTTTTCAGGAGCATTAAAAATGCTTTACAGGTTTTATTTAATTACTCTTCATAGTAGTCTTGGGAGTTAGAAGCAAGTGGGTATAATTATTAGCTCCATTTTACAGGATGGAAGGCAAAGAAGAAAGTGGCTGACCATAAGTTTACTGTCATATCTGCTGGTTCCAACAAAAGGACCAGGTTCCTAAATATCACCGGCCTACATTCTAAGGCATTTTCCGTATTTTTGAAAGTTTGGTCCTGATAAGTCATTCAACTAAACAGATACTGATGCCTTTAAAGTTTTTCATCAGCCATGATCACTCTAACTTCTCTTATTTTTCATTACACCCCAAGCCACCCCTTTCATCCCAGCCAAGAGGATTTTCCAGTGCTCATTTAGGTCCAATACTGAATGTCATTCTTTCCAAGATTAGTCCAAGCTGTTCTATACAGTTTATGTAGAGTACCAGCCCTTCCTCTACACCCACTGAATTATCACTCTTTGCCTTCATTTCTAAATTTAATTTAGCTTTACATTTTTATTAAAGTAAATAACAAATATAAAAGGACAGCACAGAAGATTTTTAGTCCTGGAGATGACTTCTAGTAATTGTAGACCAAGTACTTATCTTTCATTTATTACATTTTCATCTTTAGATAATAATTAAATCCCTGATATGAGAAATAAGAACTTAACTATTTCAATCTAACACCTTCCCTTTAGCTCTTCCCACAGTTGGATGTAAACTTGATTACTTCTATTTTTCCTATTTTTTTGTTGTTGATTCCTTTCAAGTAAAAAGTGTGTATGTTTACTTAAACCTCTCAGGCATTCTAATGGACAGACTGGCTCAACCTCCTCCACAGACCCCTGCTAGCCTATCGTATTTTGCTGACTAAATAACTTCGATTTTTTAAAATTTAAACAAATTTGCTGAAATCTTATATTCATTAGAAATGCTCCTTTTCATTTCTTTCACTATAGATTTACTTCCTAATGACACACCTAGGCTTATATTTCACAAGGCCACAGTAGAGACAAGTTTACTCTGCCATTTTGAGCCAGGAGTCACTCCTTTATGCCTGTCTTGCTCAGTACATTCACTTTGCTTAAAAACTAGTAAATTCTTTAATGACATTGTTTTAAAAACTTTATCCCAATTGTTTAATGCATTTCAATGTACACTGGGTATAAGGAAAATATGGATAGTAGATTATTTAAGTAAAAAATAAAAGAACCAAAACAAACTGTAAATGTAAAATTCATTCCTCTTATTCCTCAGAGACACAAAATTATAACTGAAATTACAGAACTACGCTTGGCTCAGTAACAAAAATGTTGAATTAATAATTCCACAAATTTATTATGATAGATTAAGAATCAGAAAACTGAGGTAAAGGAGAAAACTCACATATTTTGTTAATTTTATATGATCACTGGTATTTCAAGAGCCTGGAATCTCTCTCTAAAGACTCTAAAAGTACTTTGTAGGAACTGGCATAGGCCAAATATACTTTTAACCTGGAACTTTATTATGTCAGTTACAGTAAATCTCTCTACCTTCTGGATTTGTTTTTTTCTTCCTTTGTTAAACTATGACCTATACATTTTCATATTAAAAAAATAATCTTTTGAGGACTTTTACTATGTAGTTAGGTTTCAGGTCAGTGAACAAAGGAAAATCTCCTCCCCTTAAGAATAAGATTTTAGAGTAAGGATTTTGCCATGGCATTTAAACAAAGCTATCATGATTAGGCCTTTTTTGTAGCAGAATTTTTGTGAAATGTCAGTTTATTTGAACGGTCCTACCTAAGACTATCAACAGATTTCACAATAATTGTTCCAAATGTCAGAAGCATGAAATTTCATTATCTTTCTCCTTATCTCATCATTCTGCTAATTTTCTTAAGAATTCATAAGATACATATTTTAAAGATAGCATTATTTTATACAACTTTCATTGCTTCACTGTTTTAATATGACCTAAATACCTCTGAGTGATAAGGAATATCAAGAAAGAGTTGTGTTCTGAGAAGTGGTTCTTAAAGACCTTCTTCCTTAGCAGTTTCCCCTTTCCTACATGGTCTACTTCTTCAAATCATTTAGCTCTTTGTTTTTTTAGCCTGAGAATTCCCAAAATGCTTCCTTTCATCTGCAGCATTTTTAAATTGTCTGTGTCAAAACTCTGCTGTTCTCAAAAGGGGACAGAACAGCTTCAGAGTAAAAGTAACCCAAGAGGCAAAGCTTTCAGGGAAAAATAAAAATAGTGGCCAGCATTTTATCTATCCATAAGTTGTATGGACGTCTATTTGTTTACATTTGTGGATTTTACATTTACAGTAAAGTTATAAAGAGTGCTGAAAGATGCTGGGCAGACACTGCCACAATAATCTAATCTGCTACAAAAGACAATGCATTCTGGAAAATCTTACGAGTCAGACTGTGTTGAAGGGTCAAGAGTGCATTACTATTCCTACATTCCCCTTTTCGAACATGCCTGGGATACTCTGCACCCAACTGAAAGGTGGTCTGATGGGCCATTTGCGAGCAGCCATGAGTTAGAAAGTGAGACGATGGCTGACAAAGCTATTGTGTTGGGAGGCATAAACATGCTGAATGAGTATGCGAAGGCATAAAGTGACACTTCTTTTTCTCAGCTAAAGATCAGTTCAATACAAATAATTAAAAAGTGAAGACTATCAGTACACCAGTTTGCACATTTTTTGCTGAACTGAAATGAATGAAATCAAAAGAATTAAATAGAATATATGGCCAACAACTCTGGGTCCCAAATGTAAACTATAAATAATAAAAGTCTTTCATGATATGAATAGCTTACATAGTATCTCCTGAAACTACTATTTGAATAGGCTTCAACTATAATCTCTAATGGCATACTCATAACGAAACAAAAAAGTAAAAAATATGGAACTTCAATAAAATTGAGTTGCTGACTGCTATTCTGCCCTAAACACTGACTCTGATTGAGGACTGAAAAATTTCCACCTCAAGTACCTGAGTGTGAAAAACAACATGACCTGCAGGTTAATTTGACTGGTCTCTGCTAAATGGGTCTGGAAACTAAAGGAATTCCACAAATGTCAACTATGTGTGGTTAACTGCCACTACCTACCCGTCAAAATAATACCTAAAAATGTTAGCAAAAGCAGCCCAATAACTACGCAATGGAATAAGAGATCACGAAACCAAGGTCATGAGTATCTGGGTCCTTTCCCTTTCCCATTTTAAAGACTAAAACAGTCTTAGAACACCATGTTTTCTAATTTTTCAGAACAGGAATTTGGAATCATGCAGGTAACAGAGAGACCAAGAGTTACATGTCTTTACTCTCATGTTTCCACTAATATGTCTTAATGAGAATGTCACAAAAGCAGGGACACAGTCGTGCAAATGTCAATTATCTGCACACAGCTTTTCTTGTTTCTAGATTCACGGACCCCCAAATCGGCACCTGACTTCTGCTTGTGTCCTCCTGGAATTATTTATGCCATTTCTATTGTCCTCAATGCACAGTAAGTTGCACATGCAGATTTTCATGAGTACTATTTTAAGTAGTTTGTTAATGAGCTGTAAACAGTGGAACTGCAGAACTAACAATGTGAAGAGGCTATAAATGTCTGTGTTCTCAACACCCCAAGTGAGAGAGTGGAGAGGGATGAGGGAACGGCTTACCTCTGGAGTGCTAAGAGCATGTTCTCCAGCTAAAAGCAGCATGCTTAGGCCTCCCATTTGAGTAGGATCTAAGTAAGTCAAACACAAACAAATCAACAATTTATAAGCATGAAGTAGGTATTATCCATGCAGAATACAAAAGAACACTCACAAAGACTAACAATCAGAAATCCAACAGAGCCACATATAATATTTTATGGAAAACTCTCAAAACTCTTTATGTAGTAATAACCTAGCATGTGTGCTTACAATATATACTTTTGTGAGCCTTTAAAAATACTACTGTTGGGGACTGGACTGGGCTGTGGGACATAAAGTGAGAGTGATACTCGTGAGAAGTGTGCCTCTTAGCTCAAGTAGGTACAAGAGACTAAATAGGCAGCTCCTGTCCAGAGGTGAGATGGGAAGGCAGACAGGGTTAGGAGCTGGTTGAATGGACATGGGGAATCAGGGGTGGAAAGGAGAAATGTGCTGTCACAGTATGGGGAGGGCAATTAGAGTCACATAACAATGTATGTATAAATTTTTCTATGGGAGACTAACTTGAAATGTAAACTTCATTTAAACTACAACAATAAAAAAAAATTTTTTTAAATTAAAAAAGAATACTACTGTTGTACTATGTACTACATACCATTCGTACATAGCACTTTCTTCAATGTCACAGCTATTTATAACATAAATTACCTCCTAATGTGATGCATCTTTCCTTGCTGCATGGGAGTCTGGATGGGAATTGTTAAATAAAAGAATGCTTATGTTTGTCTTCCAAGAAGTTTGAGACTGTTATTCTCAAAATATTATTTCGGCCTTGTGCAATCAGGGCTGATAAAAAGAACCAGGCTATCAGAGGAACTAGAGAACAATTTTCCAAACTCCAAGTTTTCTAAAATCTTGTGGGCCGTGTTCAAGTAATTTTTCTTATTTAAAACTTTCATAAATAAATGTAAATTAACTGATGATGTATTGTTTGACATTTTAAATCTTGCTGAAAGTACCTTAAAGATTTAAAATAATTCTTTTGTGTTGCCAAAAGCCTTTGTTTCCATTCTCTCAATAATCAACAGAAACAAAGACAAAATCAAAACAGCACCATGGGTGATCTATGACCCAGGGCTACATTAACAAAAGTATCACAGATTATAAGAAACCTTTGTTTTCTGAAGTTGTCTTAAATTAATATCAGAACAGCAGTGAAAATGCCTAACTCAGTGCCTGGCCTAGTGTGCATAAAGGTCCTTAATAAATGCATATATAATTTAACAATCTCTCTGTAACTGAAAACGGGATCGGTCACAATGGTGCCTGAAGATAGTTCATTGTTTCTTTTTTGGATTTTTTGGTTAAAGGTATGACCCTAAGTAACGTTTCTGTATACAACAACACTGACCATATCATATATACAGTCAAGATAAATAAAAAAAAATAGAAAAGATCATCTGAAGTAGTAAAATAAAAAATAAAACAAAAAACCAGAGGTTGTTAGAGGAGAAAATATGCTGCCACTGATGAGGTGGTCAGAAACAGCTCAGTGTTGGAAGGCAGCCGGGAGGAAGGCAAACGGGCTCCACAGCCGACACCGACTGACACTTGATGTGATAAAACCAAGCTCTTCGTTGTTGTCAAGATTTCATCCTTAGTTAAATGTTAAGCTACCACATTAGGAACTGTGGTGCCTGTTAAAATAGATACTTATCTATTTTTACAGATAGTTTTAAACCTATTTAAAAATAAAAATCAGGAGGGGGAAATGAATTGACTAGAAAGTAAAAGTTTAATTTGGTTCTTTGGCAGTTAAATACTTTTGCAGCTGTCAACCTAGAGATCTCGAGAACTGGATGTCTGCTTTCTAATAAAGACAAAAACATGTTAGTTCAAATCACAAAGTGAAATAGGAACATGCTTCCATGGTAATTTACTTAAGCTGTACACGAATGCAACTCTGAAAGAAGTTTGCTGTACAGATACCAAACATAGACCAAGAAATTATAATCGTCCTTTACACTAATTTACACTTATATATTGTCATTCAGAAATATCAAAAAACATATAACTAACATGTCTTCCCTTCACTGAAAGGGCCTATGCTAAGTTAAAGTCTACACAGCTTTCTCTCCTTGGAGGTCAGGCATTTCACCACTATGAGCTTGTTCAAAATAGCAAAATGTCATGTGACAGGGCTATTGGGCAAATAAAACAAAACAAAAATGAACAGACTGCATGTCGAGGAAAAGCCTAAGTTGGCCTTTAAAAGCCCTACAGTGCGAGACTCTGGCTCATTTACTTTGCCTGCATAATCAGGAAAGGCCAGCCCCTAGAAAAGGACATCATGTTTGGTAGAGTGTCAGCGAAAACATGGGAAACCCTCAATGAGATGGACTGACACAACAGCCGCAACAGAAGACTCAAACATATCAACGATCATGAAGATGGCACAGGGCCTATTATACATAAGGTGGCCATGAGTTGGAATCGACTCAATGGGAACCAACAACAGTACTCCCTAGGTTCAAATAGCTAAGTGCCATGTTCAAAGGCAAATTCCTTAGCTAACTTTTATCTTACCAAAAGGAACATAAATGAAAATATCAGACCAATGATATCTACTATACACTAGCTTAACAAGGGTTCTAATCACGGCTCTCTAACAAATATCCTTTTCTAGGTCATTATGTAATGAAAGAAATATGAGGAAGGTGTTTTTCTTCTTTCCTGTACTTTGCTTTAAAAAAAAAAAATTGTTTTAAAAATCTGACTTGTTAATATCTTGTTTGAAGTGAAGGTTCCACTTTCAATTCGTACGCAGGATGCTACTGAATAAGCTGTCAGAAACTGTACTATAAACAGACATCTTTCCCAGCTTTCTGTAGTTTACCTACAATATTTACGTGGTTTGTAAAGAGCAGTATGCAAAAAATACATGCAAAAAAAGTAGGCAAAAAATCCTATAATGACATATGAATGATAATCAAAGATATTCAGCTAGAGGCCCATCATCCATGTACCTTTTTTTGATAATAATTTTATGAAATACTCCAACTGATACAATCTGGGAAGTCTAGATTGCTCACCAAGACTGCCTAGCAGCAAGAAGGTTGAAGCTAAAGTTGTACCAAGTGACAGCACAGACAAGGACAGATCTCTGTTTTGTTTTTTCTGTTACATGTACAAGCGTCATTTTGGGAGCGCACCTAGAATTATAGTATAGACAGCTACATAACAATCACCTGAAGACTTTGTTTACCCAGGATGCTGCTATTACATTAGACTGCATTTCTTAGCATTTATATTCTACACTGTCACATACTTTGTTATACTATAAATCACACACTGAACTATGAAGTCTCATTAGGTCTACTAGCAATAAAGAGTGATCTGTCATCACAATGATGCTCAACTTCCTTTTCCAAGTTTTCCATATTGGAAATGGTTCAGTAGTTCGGTTTTGAAGAAAATTTGCTTGTAATAATGACACAGGAACCCAACAGTTCAACACCAACTTCACTGCTTCCACCCTACCCAATCTCCAATTTTATCCTGGCAAATTCCTCTTCTGATTATTACACTGCAATAGCCAAAAAAGAGGGAGCTATTTGCAGAGTAAATATAGATACTTTTTTTATGGTAATAAATACTTTAGCATTCCTTACCACCCAAAGAGTATTAAAGGCTCCTCTATAAATGGAAAGATCTGAAATTTTAAATTTGCCTGGCCTGTAAAGGATGGGGATAGGAAAAGGGATAGAATGGGAATGAGGGGAAGTGAAATTCCCTTTAAGACACAGTTGTCAGATCCATCTCAGATTTGTGATAAAGTTGTTCATATTTCTGCCCTCCCATGTTTCAGATATTCAGATGACCTACATAATCATGGATTTTTAAACACTGATAATAACTTAGGAGTTTAATGGGATGCTTACTAGTATGTGTGTGTAAACTATTTTGTTAAGATTATAAAATTCCCTGAGCTCCTCCTAACAGTCTACAGGTCAACCTCTACATTGCTATCTGCTTTACTATATTCTCAGGAATTTACATATATTTATAATGACTCTACCACTCAGTCTACACATCTTTTTTTTAATTACGTATACATCTAGCTACATCATGCTCCAACGCTCTCAGATATGCTATACATTTGTCATGGCTTCACACTGGTCATGAATTCTACTCCTCTCTCTCTGTGTATGACTTGTTGAAAATACTGCCTAAGTGTATTGCCCTGTCCTTAAAGAAGAGGTAGAAACAGTGCCCAAACTCACCAGCCATTCCAAAGTTAAGCTGAGGCATTTCTTCAGTCTTCGCTTTCTTGGGGCTTGGCAAGTCCCTTGAAGAGTCAGATGGGAAGGCCCATAGTTTCTTTCGTGGATTGACAGTGGGTGTTGGAGATTTCACAGGCTTGTTTGTTGTAGGACACCATTTGTAGCCAGGGTTTGCTTTCATAAATGCATCTTTATACTACAGATAAAAGATAGATAACAGATTTTAATTAATCTATAGATAGAGAAAGTTCTAATAGTCTCCTCTCCCCTTCCCCATTTATATTATGAGTGAGAAAAACATCAGTAACTTCTGTGGCTTTCTCAGCTCAGGGCTCCAGAGTCAGGACATGGAGATATATACTATCTACTAGACAGTCCATTTGTGGTATGAGGGTACAGAGGCAGCATAGTTTGTTTTTTTTAATCCTCAATTTTTTTAGTGTCCAGAAAACCACTTGACTATGGTGGGAAGAGGGAGTTGTTTCACCATGGAAAGAGCACAGGCTTTGGAGACAGAAAAACCAGAATTCAAATCCTACCAGTTCCACTTTTAGGGTTTCAGTGACCAAGGACACAGAACATAACCTGTCTGGGTCTCAGGCTCAGTTTCCATAAACTGAGAATAATATCACAAATGCCACCGGGTTATTAGGAACACTGGTGCCTAGTGCAGCACTATTTCAAAATAGGCTTCAATAAACATTACTTTTCTTTCCTTACTTTGTGTAGGGCAAAGGTGAGTTAATGTCAGCCAATAACCAGATTCTGCCCACTGCTTAATGTAATGTGGTTAAGTATGGTAAACAACTAAATAATCTATGCTTTGACATACTAGTAAGATAAATGCAAGCAAACTTAACAGCAAAATGCTCAGAACAAGACTAAAAATGGGAGAAGATGAACAAGGCAAGCCGAATGGGTGCATAACGCTTCAGTTATTTAAAGAAACAGGTCCACGTGGAGGGAAGAGCATTGAATGCAGAGTCTGATGACCTGGGTTCCACCTCTTCTATTAGCCAGCAGTGGACATAAAGCAAGTCATTTAACCTTTCTCAGACACAACTCCTCCATCTATAAAGTGTCACAGTACCTGTCAACACTGAGAGTTTTGTAACGAGCAGACGTGATTGCGTACGTGAACATGCTCTGAGAGCTAAGATGTGTGATGTTGCAGTTAATCCATCACACATTTTAAGTCTTTATTTCATGTTTCAACCCTCATGATACAGCTTCTTCTCTATTTTTCTGTGACTTCACTTTTTATCCTTTCTTCCTGACTCTCCTACCTCTTTTCCCTTTGTGGCAATAGCATTAAATGAAATACATTTATTATTATTTACTATATATTGCCAGAAGTTATCTGTTAAATATTTATTTTGCATATATTCTTCAACTATTATATGTTATTACTGCTAAATATAAATTAATACTTTTAATCCTGTAGGCTTGCTTTTTTAAAAAGTTACTCCATGTGTAAAACTAACTAGTTATAAGCTCCAAAATGCTTTGTATTTAACCCAACATGAAAAAAAGGTTTTTTTATCCTTGGTGTAAGGGAAGTATATGTAATTCAAATAAACTCTTTTGACCATTTTACTTTAAACCATAGAGATGAAAACTGTAGTGGAAATATAATACAATGTTAATAATAAATTGTCCAGGATTATCCCAAAGTAATTTTAACTCAATTTTCTGAATTCAAAATCTTTTTGTTTTTTAACCTATAAGCTGTAAATCTATCTGTTGAATACATGTGTGTATGTAGAAGGAAGGTAAGCACAAAATACTATAATACAGTCCCACTTTTCTTACAAAAATAATGAATTAAAATGGGTCACAAGGCCAGAACAAAACCAGAATTTACCATCACATAGCAGACTGCATTTGGAGGTATCAAAGGTGATGTAACAGATACCCAACCACAGCACACTCATGTACACGGGGGATTTACATATTCAGCTGAGGCAGACAAACAGCCTTGCCTGCTGTCTGGAGATGGAAAGTGACAAATGGCAGGGGGAGGTGAAAATGGAAGCAGCAGACACATACATCATTACTGTGCCGCAGTAAAAGGCACATGGCTGAGGCTGTCAGATGAATACTCATTTGGACAAAGGTCACCACGCTATAACGTGAAAAAGACTTTCAAACAAAATGATGAACATATTTGTCATGACAAAATTATCTCTTACTCATTTCTGAGGTAGTTTAAATTTTCCAAGAAGAAAGTCACAGTTGTAAAAGATGCTAGAATGGATGGATGTCACCAGCACTTGGACTTCTGTTTGTCAGGTAAGCCCCTGCCCCTGTGTGGAGCCACTGAATAAGCTCTTTCACAGCCAGATGTCACATCTTTTGTTAAGAATCATTTAACAATTTGCTTTGGTGAAAATCAGTAAGTGTAGTGCAAATGAAAATATTGTTATCCTTATGAATTAATTATTGCCAACATCAACTATTTTTAAATAAGCTATGATAGGGAACTGTGCTGACGACAACATAAAGCAGTGACAATCCCTGTAGCACAATCATTTCTCTTTCTCTTGCCACTCCCCGCCTTCTCTCTCTCTCTCTCTCTCTCTCTCTCAAATACTTTGTGAGCATCTCCTATATGACAGACACTGGTCAGCCAGTGGAGATAAAAAAAAGCATGAATTAGACAAGCATCCCTACCTTCATACTGCTTAAAACCCACAATTAGTCACACAAACATATTATTCTTTTTCCATGTGTAGTCTACAAGCCTTGTCCTGGCTCAGGCACAATAAACAGTTTTGCAAAGGGTCCCTAAGAGGGGACACTACCTATGGGCTGAAGAACGAAGGACAAGAGGAAGGCCTAGATCTATCTGGAAAATGGTAATTGAGAATTCACTATGAAGAGTCAATATTCTGTCTGTATCAAACTATTAATCTTAAAGACTCTGGAGCCTCAGGGTGTGAGGATATCTATCTGCCTTGGGACTTGTCATCTATCTCATCAATCACCTGCTCCGATGCAGCTACAGAAGACAGCAGAAAGGCTTCATCATTTGTTGTGATGAGGTTATTAGGGAAGGGATTACAGAGAAGGCTGGGTAGGGGAGAAACTGAGGAAGGCATTTCATATAGTCTGAAGCATAAGGATAAGCGAAGCTATCAGCATCCAGATCAACCAACTGGGCAAAATCTATCATCATGGAATTGAAAGGGCCCAGAAGATAGGCCTCACCCATCCGGCCCTAGAGTGGGGCTGTTCAAGCATAGTGTGGATCACCAGCACCTCCTGGGAGGTGAGGGGGCTCATTTACCCTCCAAGAACATCAATTACCACCTGCACGTCCACTGTTTTCAATGAAAGAGTCTCTCATAGATAACTAAGCCCTTGCTCAAATACTCTTTTTCAAAAATCTCTCATTAAAATAAAAATTCACCTTCTCACGGCTTCCAATTTGTTTTCTTCAAATTTCTAACTGATGAGATAATGTAAGTGAAGCCTACTTTACAAACACAATTCCTGACTTAAACAAGGTGCTAAGTAAATGCTGGCTCCCTTCTCTGGACCCCTACCACCACCATATTTTATTATCAATAATAATAAATCACTCTTATTCCATAACACCATTAAATTAACACCCTTGTCACAGTATTTTGCCTACTTCATATTTGACAATGACATTATCATGTTACAATACTCTATGATGTTTATCTTTAAAAACATAGTTCTCAAGATTAAAGACTTTTCCAGATCATCTACAAAAATGGAAATTTTATCTAAGAATTACTGAAGAAAAGTATCAATATTAATGAAAGATATACTTACCAACTACTATAGAATTCTTTGTTTTTATTTGGGGGATGGACTTATCTGAAAAGTCTAGCAATATTTCTAGCTGTGATTAGAGTCTAGATCTTTAACACAGAGTGAAAGAGAATGACAACTTTGGTGAGGTCTAGTAATAAGGGAACCTAGGAACATGTGGGAGCCCTGGTAGCACGGTGGTTAAGAGCTTGGCTACTAACCAAAAGGTTGGCAGTTAGAATTCACCAGCCACTCCTTGGAAACCCTATGGGGCAGTAGGGTTGCTATGAGTCAGAATCTACTCGATTGCAATGGGTTTTTTTTTTTTTTTCCCTGGGGGTGGGGGTAGGAGGGAGAACATGTGACCTATAGAAATAAAAACAGCTGGCTCTAGTTAAAATATGTAAAATATCACCATGAAATAAAATCATGCGAGAGGGATTACCTTATTTCCAAAGGAAATTATCTGGCTTTTTTTGTGTGTGTACATTAGGTGAAAGTTTACAGAACAACTTTCTTTCCCGTTCCATAGTTTGCACATACAATGTTTCATGACCTTGGTTTCATTCCCCACAATGTGTCAGCACTCTTTCCATTTCCACCCTGGGTTCCCCATTTCCTTTTGTCCTGATTTTCTACCCTTTCCTGTCTTCTCATCTCTGTTTTTGGGAAGATATTGCCCTTTTGATCTCGTATAATTGATTCTTCTTCTAAGGACTACATTCCTCTCGGATGTTATTGATTATCTTACAGGCTTGTCTATTGTTTGGCTGTGTGGTAATCTCCGGGAATGGCTTCAATTCCAGGTCAGAAACGTATCTGAAGGCCATGGTCTCAGGGATTCCTCAGTCTCTGTCAGACCAGTAAGTCTGGTCTTTTTTGTGAATTTGATTTTTTGTTCTACAATTTTCTCCAGCTCTGTCCAGGACCCTCCGTTGTGATCCCAGTCAGAGCAGTTGGTAGTAGTAGCCAGGCACCATCTAGGTCTTCTGGTCTCAGGGTTATGTAGGCTGTGGTTCATGTGGTCCATTAGTCCACTGGACTAACTACTACCTTGAGTCTTCGGTCTTCTTCACTCTCCTTTGCTCCAGATGGCTGCTCACAAGCTTTTAAGACCCTAGACACTAATCACCAAAGTAGGATACGGAACATTTTCTTCATGAAGTATGTTGTACCAATTGGCACAGATGTCCCCCGAATCTACGGTCCTTTGTCTTCTAGTCTAGGAACTTCATCCCATTAAGTGTTTGGTTATGTCTTAGAGGTTTCCCTGTCTGTACCCCTTTTGTGCTCCATATGAGCCACACCTACTGACATGCATGTAGGAATATCCACTGCCAAACCTATATTTGCCGGTGGGTGTGTTCCCTTACATCCTCCCAACCTCTTGGCATAAGAAATTATCTGAGTTTTATA